TGGACCCAAAGGATACGTCAACGACTCGCTATGGAGATCTCATGCTGCACTTACAACGCCAGGACAGTTTCCACCAACGCCGATCTTCACGTCCTTCTCGAAGCTGCAGGGCGCATCAACTATCATGTAATTGCCTTGCAGGAAACAAAGTCCAGGAAATCGGACGTGAGGCAGCTGAGTGATGGTACCTCATCATTCGTAATGAGAAAGTTCCATCACGGAACGTTGGAGGCGTTGGATTTGTCGTACACCCATCTGTTGTCCATTTTGTCGCATGAGATCCTATCATCTCGCTTGGCTATCCTTCGACTCCGTCCTCTGCATCAGAAAGCCATCACTATCTCAACTGCTATTCTCCAACATTGGAGGAAGTCATCCGCAAAAAAATGCCTTCTATAAGTTCGTCGTGGGTGACTTCAATGCGAAAATCGGGATAACAGAAGAAGAAGAGCACAGGATCGAGAGATTTGGAGCAGCGTTCCGGAATGAGAATGGTAACTGTCTTGTTGGGCTCTTATCCGCCGCACGACCTTTTTTATGGCAACTCCATTTTCATGAAGAAAGAACACCGGTGATGGACATGGAAGTCACCCAACGGTACGACTCATGCGGAGATCTACCACATTTTCACCAACCGAAAGTGGTGCTTACTGGACGTCTCAGTGGTACCATAATTCAGTAGTGGTTCAGATCACCGCCTCCTTCGAGCAAAAGTGCGATTTAGCCGACAGCTGGAAAGGAAGATTTGCCACCATGTTGGAGGAAGGAGAGAAGTCGTATATGACGGCGTCAGATTAGAAAAGCTCCTACCACTTGCGACTGGCCATCGAGGAGGACCCGACGAAAGACTACGCTGCTTTTTAGGCTGGATCACCACTGAGGCTGGATCGGACTGCAACACATCTCGAGCGACTGGTATCCAATAACAGTTGCAGAACAGCTTTGCAAGAAGATCTTCAGTACAGGCAATCAAAACTCTTGGAAGCAGCACAAGGAAGGAGAAGTCTAAAGAAGTACCGCAGGGACTT